TCAACTCCCAGAATTCTCCAGCCAGCATAGCTGGCTGGAGAATTCTGGGAGTTGAAGTCCACAAGTCTTAAAGTTGACAAGGTTGGAGACCTCTGCTATAGATGTCCTAAGCATGGTGGCTGGGGAATTCTAGAAGTTTTATTTATTTCAGAAAATTTATATGGCTGCTGTTGTGGCCTGTTGGCCGCCGGCCCCTCAACAGCTGAATCAGAGGAGGAGGAGGAGGAGGAGGAGGCGTGAGAGTCAGGGTCAACATCAAGGCAACCTGAGAGCTCCAAGGGGGAAGAAGGAATGGAGTTGGCAGAGACAGCGACAGGGCCTGGGCCGTCCGTCAGCCCTCAGACGGAGAGTCCACAGCCCCCCAGGTCTGGAGGTGGCTGATGAGGAAGAGGAGGAACAGCCGGGTCCAGTGCCTGATGCAGAAGGCAGAGGAGAGGAGAGCAGTGGAAATCTATGGGCCGGTCCTTGGGACGGAAGAGCCACTGCTGCTAGTGAAGTCCCACCCAAGCTCTGGGATCAAAGGCTATTCACAACTATTCATCTCCCTGCTGGGCGGACTTGTTATCCTGCGGTGAGAGAGAAACTTTTGGCTGGGGCTGCCGGCGCTCTTAGTAAAGGGAGCATTTCGTGAACTACGGAGGGTCTGTCGTATTTGGGAGCCAGGTCAGAACAGCCGTCCAACTCATAGTGACTCCGCGGACAGCTTATAGAGACACATCAATCATGCGGATTGAGGAGTTCTGTGGGATTCTGGGAGTTGAAATCACCATGGCTGAGAAGCCCCACGCCCTGAGAGATGATGTCCAAAGAGGGGATAGAAAAAAGCAAAACAACTCACAGTGGTGACCCTGCAGATCTGGCCGCGGAACTCGGGCGAATAGCAGGCTCCGCTGAGCGGGCACTTCTCCACGGGTTTGCCCCGGTAGATGGGCCGGAAGGAGGCAGCGCAGATGTCGAAGGGATTGTGCATGTCGTAGTTGAGCTGGTGAGTGTCGATGGGGTTCTTCTCGCAGGCAGACAGGATCTTCCGGGTCTGGGGGAGGCGAGAGGAAGAGCCAGAGGGTGGGAGGTGAGGAGGGGGCCCTGAAGCAGCAGCTGCTCGGTGCCCCTCCACTACCCACCCCCGTTCGGGCCCTGGGAAGGGAACCTGAAGCACGGGAATTGGGCTGCTCCTCTTTGCCTGGAAGAGCCTTCTTTTTAGAGAATCTCTTTCTTTCTTTCTTTCTTTCTTTCTTTCTTTCTTTCTTTCTTTCT